CCTGTGTCCCACGGGACGAATTACGAGTCAACGGGAGGTGCCAAGGGAGTCACTGGTTCCAGGTTAGAAATGGCGATCGAGGACAGAGTGGATAGCCTTGCAGTGTCATCATCGTCAGACCATGATAGGACGATCAGGAGGAATGATGATGGAATAGATGCGATGATGCCTAGTGGCGAGCTCGGTGCTGAGGGCGATCGAACGAGAAGTGCGGATAGCGGACATTGGATGGGAAGAGGGAATGGAGATGATCTCGTTCCAGGAGTGTATTCGAATAGTGCGACCATGATTGGGAATGTCGGTGCCGATCCTACAAACCTGGAGTTGATAGCTAAGGGATCGTCGGCGGTAGCGCAGAACGTGGTCAGTGAGAGTGATGATAGAGCACTGTCTGTATTTTCATCTACAGGCCTCTCGGAGGCATCACCAGGCGGGAACGTTGAAGCGTTGAAAGATATGGGGATGGGTCAGACTACGACGATCGGAATAGAGTGGGGATCCCATGGAATCCGGAGTACTCTCGAGGAAACGGGGGTCATCACTGACGTGGACTTTGCGAAGTTCTTCACAGATCAGGGACCAGGAGAGCCTGGATCAACGCCCATGACGATGCAATCGGATTCGCAGGAACGGTGGAACGCTGGGATATATGGTGCCGAGATCGCAGGGATAGGGAAAGACAGGTCACGAAAAATGTCGATGGGGTCGGATAGTGGGCACTCAGGTGGTCGATCTACGTCATTGAAGAGGGATAGCCCGGGTGGATCGGAAAATGGAGTTGGTACCACCAGCAAGATAGGCAAGATGGATGAGGGACTACGTAAGCAACGAGCGGAGCAGGCCGTTAAGGAGATGAACCAGATAGCCGAGAGCGTCCCCGCAGCCAAGAAGTCGAAATCGACCGAAGTTGGGGGACCGATCCATCAGGCAGGAATGATCACCCCGGATCAGGGTAGCGAGGGATGGGGCAATCGATCCCCGGCTCCACGATCTCCTGGGATAGGTGGGCAGTACGAGCAGTTCGTGATCAATACACCTCCTGAAGGACGAGGCAGGGACGATGAGATGAGGGCAACATCATCCCCGCCAAGGCGGGCAAAGACGAGAACTCCTGCCGATCCGGACAAGTCGTCGTTGGGAGAGATAGACGGCAGGATAGATGACTTGCAGACGGTGGTTGTGGATACGCAGACCGACGTAGCCAAGCTTAAGGTGGCAAGTGAATGTGCAAGTGCAATTGCCAATAGCTCAGCGGAGAAGGCGGACGTCATGAGCAAGAGATTAGTGGAATGCGAGGAGGAGGTGAAGCACTGGAAAGGGTGGATAGAATCGCAGCAGATAGATACGAAGACAACACTGTCGCAAGAGCTGAAAGAGATGAGTCGGATCATGGACGGGAGCATCAGCGAGGATAGGATGGACGATGCAATAGCACCGCAACTGACCGAGGGAGCCATGCAGCTCGCACGGAGAATGAGACGGCAGGTTGAGAACGTGAAGGTGCTCAAGACCTCTGTTACGACCAAATTGAAGGGAGTGGAGGAACGTTTGTCCACGGCGGAGCATTCAGCTGACGTGGCCAAACAGAGTACCGGGACGAAGATCACCACGTTAGAGACAGGATTGAACGAGGTGAGACGTGGCATAGGTGTAGTCTTCTCGAGCATGCAAATGCGACACGAGAATGGAACATGGAAGAACGAGAGACTGGATAAAGTAGAGACGGTTTTGAATAGACAATGGGACCAGATCAAGATAGCGGGCGAGGAACTAAGGAAGCTGAAGTCCAAGGGGAGCCAGAAAGCCGGAACCGATACGGCATCGTCGTCCCATTGCAACAGCCAAGGAAAAGGTCCTGGATGCGGATGCAGAGAACCTGGCGAGGGTCACGGCACGTGCATAGATGGGGCAGTGCGGGGCGAAACCAAGAAGCTGAGTGAAGTGGTTCTGGCGCAGAAGGAACACATAATGACCGTCGCGAGAGAGGTGATAAAGAACCGCAAAAGCGTGGCTGAGATTGTGGCGAACATGACAAAGGTTCACAAGACTTGCGAGAATGTCGCTGCAAGGACCGATCGGATGGATGAGAAGAGAAACGGAGAACAGGCCTGGGTGAAGGATACCGTGCGAAAGATGGAAAAGACAATGGAATCAATGTCGAGCCGTATGATAGATGAGCAGAAGAGAGTCACGGGCGAATTTATCCTTGTCAATGCTCGAATTGATGAGGGCGCACGGAACGAAGGGGTAGGCAAGATGCGAGGAAACAGCGCGGAGATAGGAAAGCCACCGACCATGTCACGCGGACGAGATAGTCACGGTGGGAGTGGGGGAGCCGACGGAAGAGCCAGGAGCGACAACGCCCGAGGGATAGAGGCTTCGAGGCCGGAGTTGGCAGGTCCTGTGGTAGATCGAAGGATTGAGAATAGATGCATTGTGTTAGAACAGCAGGTGACCAAGATCACTAGTCAATTGCAGGGGTTGACCACTGTGAATGAGCGGATCGTGAGGGAGAACGCTAGCCTGCTCAGTGAGATAGAAAGCATGAAGGGGGAGAACAAAGGAGTGACAGAGTCGGTAGCGCGGATGATCCGGGATAATAGAGATGAGGTATCTAAAATGAGAGCGGATCTCGATCTTCGTAGTAGAGAAATGCTTGAACTCAAAGAGAAGAACGAGCAGTTGGAGGCAACGGTACGAGAGTATGAGCGGAGACTGGAGCAGGTGAAACGAAACGATAGCATTAAAGCAGAGCTGGATAGCATGTGGAATAGAATCGGTGAGATCGCCAAGCAGAGCTCCGAGTACGCTATGCCGGCGCCGGCTGCGGGAGGTGCTTCGAACGCTGGCTCCGCAAGACCAAGTGCCGGTGCCACGCCTGCGCCAAGTTCGTTTGGGGATAGAAGAGAGCATGGAAGAAAGGATAGACAAGGAGATGGAGGTCTGTTGGGGGAAGAGACTAGGATTAGAAGGTGCCCTGTATGTGTTAGACAAGCGGAAATGATGATTGCATGCCATGGCTGCGGAAGAGAAGTGTGTGGTAATTGTTATGAGTACCATGATGATTTGTGCATGCTGTGTTCCACTGATAGAAGGGGATGCGATGCCGGAGGGTATGCAGGGACAGGACTTCCGAGGCCGCAGAGCGGACGAGATCATGAGGGGGATGATGCCAGGTTCAGAAATCCGGTAGGCGGAGGGTATAACAAGTTCAAGGACACCAGAGGGATGGAGAAATGCAACGAGATATCGATAGCGAAGGAGCCATCATCCGGGGAAGTAGGACTGTGGCTGGGCGATGTTGCACACACTGCGAAGGCTGCGTATCTGTATGACGGGGACTATGCATACACGCAGGTATTGAGGGTACGCGAAAGGAGCGAAGCGATGATAGACATGGAACTCAAGTATCCTGCGTTAGAGAACCAGCTTTTTAGCGGATTAAAGAGAGCAATAAAGTCAGAGTCATTGTCGGCGAAGGTGAAGATGGAGATGTACAAGACTCAGCAAGTGGGGGATGGAAAGCCGATGACGGCCATGAGATTGCTTACGCTGATAGTAAAGCATGTTGAGATCCCGATTGCAAAAGAGAGTCAGGTGCTGTACGATGGCCTGAGTAGCACGAAGGTGATGAGTTTCCCGGGGAAGCCCGAAGAGGAGGCACTGGAGGAGTTCATGACTAGATGGGATCTAGCGCACACGAACCTTATAGGACTGAAAGGCAATACCTGGAGCGAGCAACAGCTGGGATGGATGTTGCATTCGAAAGTGCAGAGAGTTCAGGTGCTGAACCATGATATTGAGGCATGGAGACTGCTTCCGGACGAGGCCAAGACTCATACCTGGTTGCGAAAGAGAATCAAGGATAGACTGGAGATGTGGAGAGCGGACAAGAACATTGACGAGGCATCAATGCGGGTGAGTCGACAGGCATTCACGAGTGGGTACGCTGCGATGCCGGCTCAGCAGGGATCATATAGAGCACCGGTGAATAGAAGAAGCGCGTACGCCGATGATAGACCGAGGAGTTCATCGCCCGCAGGGGGAAATAGCTACGGAAGAGGGATATCTGTGGGAAGAGGCAGGGACGGACTTTCGCAGGCGGGGAGAGCCGATGACCCGAAGAATAGATATGGATCCAAGTCGCCGTTTGGAAAAAGAGGGGTCTGCTACCCCTATACGCGTGGAACTTGCCCGATGACTGCGGCGGACTGCAAGCATTCGCACGATATTTATCTGTATAGTCAGGCGGAAGAGGTCCTCAAGAAGGCGGGATACTGCTTTGAGCATTTTCGGTACGGCAGCTGCAGAAACGACAAGTGTAAAATGCTCCATGAGGCTATCCCGAATAGCATTAGGGAGGCTTTTGAAACGGTAGAGATAGAGCAGAAGGAGACGAGGCCGTCGAGCCCACATGCTGATGGTGAAGGGCCAAGTTTTCGCCAGGGGCGGGCCGAAACCCACAGGCCAGCGAGGATAGTCAGGAAAATGCGGCCATGCCTGTGGTACGACAAGGGGATGATGGCGCCGAAGGCACGCATAGGGGAATACTGGTGACGACGACAGGCAGGGAGCGAGTGAAGAAGGGTAATAGGCGAGTCAAGGGGTTGGGCTCCGAAGAGACGGGGATAGCAGGACTGGATATATGCTATTGGAAAGGACACACAGCTGATAAGATGGTACGAAAATGCAAAAACGTACACAAGAAGGGGTATGTACATGATGTGAAACGATATCCCGTGATTGAAGAGGCAAAGGCAAGGCTACGAGGAATATCCCTAGCCGAAGAGGTCGTGCTGGACATACTTGCCGGGGAGCAAGGCGAGGAAGGTAGGGATGCATCAAGACTGGCTGATAGGATAGTGGAAGAATGCAGGAGAATAGGTATAGTCGACGAGAGATTCCGCGTGGATAGTCGAGAGGTTAGTCAACCGGCGGCGTCTGCACAGCATTGCTTGCCCCCGGTAATTAGACGATGGATGATAGACTCGGGGTGCGCTATGGATCTGATAGCAGAAGCAGACCTCACCCAGGATGAAAAAGATATGGCCATTGAGGCGAAGAAAGTGAGGTTCAACACTGCCAACGGCAACACCACGTCAAAGCAAGAGATATGCATGGATATACAAGGGATGCCTGAGACGATGAGGATTAGAATGCTCGAGAGTACTCCCGCTGTTCTATCAATGGGGAGGAGATGTATGAAAATGGGATATTCATTTCATTGGCTGGCGGGTGCAAACCCCGTGTTCGTCAAGCCTGATTCGAGCTTGATAGTGCTAAAAGTCATCGGGGATATCCCATACATGGTGGATAGAATGTCAACGGTTGTTAACGAAAGTGAGCGTAATGACTATCACATCTATCCTGCTATGCCAGCGCCTCTTGCGATTGAACTGCCCGTGCGAGGAAATTCCAGTCCGAGAAGACTTGAAGAGAAACAGGATGAATGTAGCCCCAAAAGCGTGGACTCGGACACGGATAGAGACACCGAAGAGGAACCGATAGGAAAGGCCACCAACGATGACGGGAGGCTACTAGACAAGTGGATGTTAACGGGTAATAAAGCGGTGTGTTTCCACAACAAGCCAAGAACGAAGACTTGCGATCCATGGTTTGAAACACTGAAATTCCCAGAGATACATGCACTGGTGCCGCGATTCGCCGAGAGATGTAGATCCAAACGTGTGTACAAAGATGGCAAAACCGTGGCGGAATGGATAGACTGGGTGGACAAGTACAGTGAGGGAGAGAATAGAGACGCGGAAGAGGACTTATGGACAGGCAAGACCATGTTCAAGATAGAAGGGCTCACATTCGAAGGAGCGGATGCAGGAGAAGCGGTGCAGAGCGATAGCGCGAAGGTGAGAAAACATATCTTGAATAGAATGGCTGCGGACGAAGACGCGGGGTTAGATGACCTGACGATGATGCTGGACAAGAACATCGGTGCCGGTGGCGAGGCAGAGACGCTAGTCGAGATAGCAAGGTGTTTATGGCCACTTGCTCCTCAAGAGATACTTGACGGCGGAAAGGCACATAAGCCCCAGGGAGAAACGAGACCTGAAATCATGAAGATAAGGAAAGCGATTGAAGGGAACAGAAGGGTTATTGTGCACATTTGTTGTGGAAAGTCAAGGGGAAAGTTTGATGACATCGCAAGCGAACTGGGAATGAGTGTGATAGATATCGATATGGAGGAGAACGTGCTGCGATCTGATACATGGTGGTGGCTAGTGAAGCTGGCCACGACCAATTTGGTTTTTTGCTGGCTAGCCGGACCGCCTTGCAGAACGAGGTCCGTGATGAGATACAGAAGGCCTGGTCCGATTCCGCTTAGGTGAGGAACGGACCGGAGAGGTGGGGATACTCATTTATCAGTTGGGCCCAGAAGCAGGAATGCCGGGACGACGATATCATCATACTGCGCGTGTGCATGCTTGTGGTGATAGGAAAGGCACGTCACCGACGATTGAGAGCCCCAACGATGTGTCTCATTGAGCAGCCTCAGGACCCCGAGACGTATTGGGATGATACGCCAGAGGGGGGATACGCATCATTGTGGGCGACAGAAGAATGGGATAGGACGAGTGCCATCCTAGGAACGAAGCTGTTCAGTTTTGATCAGGGACCGATGGGACACTCTAGGAAAAAGCCGACAACGATAGCGACTGACGCAGAGTTGATAGGATGGGCGGTCAATCTTAGAGGACCAGGGACTGGAGCGGCGAATGATAGCAGTGATAGAAGCAAGGGCGAGATGAGCGAATCGCAAAACTGGGCGGAGTGGGCACCGGGATTAGTGCGAGCCATTAAGGAGACTATGCGTAAGCACCACCGAGTATCATCAGTGGCCGAAAAGGGGATAGACGAGAGGAATAGGGAGACAATGATAGAACAAGATGATTGTGATGGTCGACTGAGAACGACGTTCTACTGCGCCGCGTGTAAGGCTGATTCATCCGGGGTATGCGGGTTTTGTGAAAGAGCTTTAAGTCCTGAGCAGATTGAGGCGGGACAAAGCGCACGCAATATGACGGATGTGGAATTTCAGCTCGTCCGCGGAATGAAGAAGAATCCGGATGACGACCTAAGGATCGCGGAGCAAGTCGTCGCTGTACCCGGCGAAGAAGAAAGCACCGAAAACGGAGGCGAATTGGATGTTGATATAGATTTGCCCGGAATAGCCGACGAAGAGCAGGCCAGAAGAGGAGTGGGAGAGCCTCAGAAGGATGATAGCGCCGGTGACATGGGAGAAGTGGAACAAACAGAGGCAGAAGTCGGACCTGCAGATCAAGTTCGAGTTGCGGATAGACCTGGCGAAGGGATAGGGTCGAGCAAAGCTGTGAGCATCCGGAGAGCAAGATACTCACCGGAGTATGCAAAATCGGCGGAACATTTGCTCACGCATCTCCCAAAGAACATGCACTGCGTTGCTTGTCGACAAGGCAAAGCAATAAACGTTCCCTTCAACAGGGGCGAAGGCATCACCGACAAGGGTGCCGAGAAGTTCGGAGAGAGGGTCACTGCTGACACGATAGTGCTTCGCAGCAACAAAGACAAGGGAATCCGCGGAGAAAACAACGCAATCGTGATGTTCGACTTCAAGACACAGTGGATACACTGCACGCCCGTGAAGTCCAGAGGAACGGATGAGTTTGTGCGAGCTATCAACGAGTTCCGAGGCCCAGATATGGTGGTGCATCTGTACGCAGACGGAGCCGGTGAATTCTCAAAAGCCTGCGATATCATAGGAACTTGCAGGGCGACTTCTACACCCGGATTACCCCGAACGAATAGCATAGCGGAGCTCAAGGTCAAAGAAGTAATCTACGGTGGCAGGGTATTACTGAGACAAGCAGGACTAGAACCGAAGTGGTGGCCATACGCTGTGCAGACGTTCTGCTTCCATAGGAACGTACAACAGGTGGACGGGGTAAGCCCGTACGGGAAAAGACATGGCAACGAGCAAGACAAAGTGAAACTGATTCCTTTCGGGGCACTTGTTAACTACCTCCCCATTGCTGAAAAGCCTAGAAAAGCTGGCAAAGAGGACGCGGCCCTGCTCGAACGGGGGGATCCTGAAAATGACGCTCTTGAGATTCTCGGAGCTGATGAAGATGTTTCGAGCATGGCCTTGCCCTCTGAAACGAAGGAAACTAAAGAACAACGCTCGCAAAGGGAGGAAGAGCTGAGAGAGATCGATAGACGTGCGCTCGACATGGTCATGACGCAGGACTTTGATGTGCAGCATGCAAAGGACATCATCCTGAAGTTCACTTCGATAGAAAAAGGAATAGCGAAGAATTCGCGGAGCATGGCCACCGGTAGAGGGTTCATAGTCCTGGGGCTGTATGCGTACGGAGGAAAGATTGGCGTTACGAATAGTGCCAAAGATTATCCGGGGATAGCCATGGTGTGCTGCGAGCTGATAGCAAAATGCTTCCCAGAAGCTACTTTTACAACGGTGATTGTGTCTGTCGGAACCAGGATGGGGCCTCACAAGGACAAGTTCAACGAGAGTCAGACATACAACTTTGTTGTGCCGGTAAGCGAGAGGGCGGGTGAAGCTATGATCTGGACAGAAGAGGAACAGTGTGCGAACGAGAGTGGCGACGCCGCCGGGATAAAGAAAGAGGTGCTTCCGGGAAAATGGATATGGGGAAGGACTCGGAAGGTTGATAGTGGGCTAAAGTTCAATCCAAGAGTTTGGCATGCTACCGAAGATGCCTTGGCGCCGGAGGATAGAGTGATAGCGGTGGGATATACCCTGGCAGCGGGTAAAAGGGCATCTGTGGACGACAAGTGGAAGTTGATGAGGCTGGGCTTCAGATTGGATGAGCACTTTGCGACATTAGCGGATGGCTTATGCCAGGCAGCGTGTGCAGACAACGGTGGGGATGGGGAAGAATATGTAGATCACGACGCCGAGGAAGAGCAAGCGTATGCCATGGCATCCAAGGCAAAGTTCGACACTCCGACATCACCCGGATTGTTCCTAGGTTACGCGCTCCAACCAGGGGGTGTTCCGAGCGGAGACTATATAGTGGTTGAGCTGGCGCACCTGTATCACGGATGGACGGTACCGTCGATACACCGCGTGAAGAGGATAGTACTTGACGAGGAGATGCCCAACTACTTCCCGATGCAAGCTGTGGCTGATAGGAAGTCGAGAATCATGACAGCGACTCGAGCTGATGCCCTGGCCAGGTTGGAACTGGAGAGAGAGGGGCAGCAAGGAGAGGAGACGGAGGAAATCTTCGCAGAGGAGAGAAGGGTACGAGCCGATGTGATGAGACAAATTAAGTGCGACGATCGGCATCTTCAAAACGGGGATTTCTGGGAACATGATGAGATAGACCATTCGTGGACGCTTCATCACATCTTACCCCGAAAGGGACGAAGCCGCCACCCCAGGCGAGTCCTGATGCCGGGAACCTGTCGAAGGAGAAGCTGAACGACTTGATAGGGGTGCGATTGGCTAGAGGGATGGACGTGCCGGGATGTGCCATGCCCACAGCGGGCACGGGAGGAGACGTTGATACACCATGGGCCCCTAAATTCATCGGCGCGACTGATGAAACAGAGAAGTCCTTCCAGAAGGGGAGATCATATGAGAGGATGATAGCTGGTGTGGCACCGATAGCCATCTCTGTGGGAGGGGTGTATGACGTCACGAACGGAAGCAAGGACCCGTTCAGGGCTAGCTGGGGAGGGATCAGCAGAAGGAACCTAGATTGGGCGGAGATCCACATGGACGACACAGAGAAGAGCCCGTTCGATGATGCGATCAAAGGCATGATGACATGGTTGGCCGTGCGACCACTGAAGTATGCAATTCCACCGTCTCAGGTTGCGGAGCGGATAGCGGTCAGCCATAAGTCGAGCGAGGAGAAGCTGAGGATATGGACGGAGGCGCAGCCCAAGATCAAGGTGATAGGCATGGCAGACGAGATTATGGGGGCCTACGAAAGCCAATACTTGAAGAGAGGAAGAGACGTGATGGAGGAATTCCGGAGAAGCGAGGGGGGAGAAAAAGGATACGGAGTTATGGCGAATGCAGCAAATGGGCAGATGAAGGAGTATCTGGATACACTGTCATGGCAAATAGGGGGACCGACGTCAGTTCTACACCTGTTGCACTGGTCCCTGGCCGAAGAAGTGACCACATTTCCGGAGGTCCAGGCAGACGGGGGGATTAAGGATGTGAAAGAACATTTCACGGATTCGCGATGTATGTGGGTACCCACGAAGGCCGAATACGCCGGAGCAGAAAAGCTGAATCAGGAGATGTCGGTCGGGAATGAGGAGTTCAATGTGCCCGGGTGGATTTTCCACGGAACGTCTCTAGAGGCGTTGTGGTCGATGATAGCATCTGGTGGGATAGATCGAAGCCATCCGCTGGTCACGTGGACGACCGGCGCTCCCAGTGTGCACGACTCTGCGGGATGCTGGTTTGGACGGAGCATCTGTGGTACAGCATCATACTCTACATGGCATTCGTTAGGGAATGGATGGATAGTAAGAGTACTGGCCGGCTTCAGAAGGATAGGCAAGAATGTCAAGATGGATGTGGGGACAAGGAGATCGTCGGTGCCTGACGGGCAGATCCGACTGGATGTGGATAGAGTGGAGATAGACGGGGTATTGTTCTGCTTTATGAGGGCCACGAAGATCATCGGGCAAGCACTTATCTGTAGGCCGAAGCACCCGGGTTTAGGAGCGAATAGCCATCTCATGAGTGAGATGTCGGCGCTGATGGAGAAGCATCCACAAGGGGTTGAGAGGCTGTATTGGCGCTATCACCTGAAAAAGCGCGCAATCATAGGCCCGGCCCGAGGACCTCTTCCTGAGCGCCCTGTGGATTGGAAGATGGAACGTGAGTTCCTGCATCGGGAAGGTGACGAAAATGTCACGAAGGTCGTCGAACAGCCAACTGGCTCAAGAAGTGGTTTGATAGAGCTCATGAGGGGATGGATAGCGGAGTTGCCTAGCGGTGGGGGCGTGTCTGGGCCTGATCGAGACAAGGACTACTACCCGGTGGATAGTGAATGGGCCAATGTGATACGTTTATTGGAGTATATGGGGATAGAGGCCCCAATGGCCACGGGACACGATAGCGCCGTCGTGAAGATGCCGTGGAGGAGTTTTGTGGGGCCAGCCATTTACAGACGGTGTGTGGAGAGCAGCGGGATAGAGGAGAAAGTCATGGAGAAGGCGAATAAGGCCACGCACCACATGGGCAAGGTTTTGGAAATGGCGGACGTGGGGAGCATAGTGTTGGGGATAGAAAAGGCACCCAGGAAATATGGGTGGAACAGACCGGAGGACGTCGACCAGAGCTGGGCGTTCGAGGCTCAGGCCTGGGCGGCTATCATTGGCGTAGGAATGGGCGGAGTTGGAGGGAGATTGATGGAGCCAGCGCTTTCGAGCGAGCTTGAGTCCGCGGTGGAGACCTACGAGTGGATGTTTGACATAGCTACTGCATTCCATGAGCGCAAGGCGGCTGAGCTGGTGACATGGTGGGCGGAGGGAATGAAGCCGCCACTTCAGCTCCGATGTAGTGCGGATCAGAAGACCTACGTGCACATCATCATACCTGAGGGGATAGAGGGCGTCTCGAATAAGAAGAATCCGGCGTCACCAGGGGAAGTCCGAGAGTGGATAGGATTGCTATTGAAGGCGCACGGAGACTATGGAAAGGCCGCGGAGAGTATGTCGTTCATTACACACAAACTGACAGGAACGCAGGAGATGACCTACCAGGGTGCGTACAAGAAGGTTCAGGAAGTGTGCAAGGAATGCGTCTCGAAGGGCATGGGAGGGAATCAAGTGACGAACATTATTGTGGTATTGGCCCCAGCTGGAATGGCAGCAGGGAATGCTCGCCGAGCAATAGAAGAGGTGAGACGGTTCGAGGCTACAGACGATGACACTAAAACCAAGGTGGCGAGGGAGACGAGGGAGACGATCAGGAAAGCCAATGCCAATGTGCTCTGGGTAGGGCCCGGAAATTTCGAAGAGAATGGATTCCCCACTAACTACAGAGTCAGGGAGGAGGCCAAGGAGCTGATAAGGGCTGGAGAAGCCATGGATAAACTGATGAAGAAGTCTGGAATCATCACTCTGCCTTGGAACGTTATGCGTACGGCGTTTCCTCGAATAGGGGTGGACGCGGGAAAGTTGTACATCAGTGCCGGGCGAACGTTCGGTTTCTGGGCGCAGATCCTGTTCATCTCGATGTTTGGAATGATGTGGCCGACCCCGCGAGACATGGAGTTATATGATAGAGAAACTTCAGCTATTAGGGAGGTGATCGGCGAGGAGGGCAGGGATAGCATTGGAGAGGTTGGAGTCTGGCTCAGACGCTGGATAGAAGTGGCGAAGGCAGACCGGTCACTGAAAACGAAAGTGATTGTGCCAGAGACAAAGATCACGGGAGTCACGGAGAGCCTTAGGACATCGGATAGACAAGGGGTGTGTACGGAGATGGCTGCCAGGATAGATGAGTCGGTGTGGAAGACGATGTGTGGTAAGTCCGAAGCTCACTGTGTGTCAGCCGGAGATAGGGGTTCTTGGCACCGGATGAAAGTGATCATTTACACGGCGGCCGGCTTCCACATGAAGGACCCCGAATACCAAGCTCTAAGGGCTATGGAGGCTATCGGGCAGCTGAAGGCGATGGCAGATGACGCAGAGATGATGGAGGACGATGCAGAGTCGGATGGAGAAGAGGATGATGCTATGGGTGAGGATAGACCGGAGAACCAATCTGCTCGAGAGGGAGACGCATCGATGACTGAGGAGTTCAAGGAAGGCAGTGACGAGGGTTTCGCCACCGTGAGGAGTCGGTCAGAACAAAAGAAGGCGAAGAAAGAAAACCGGGAGGCGAAGAAGAGGAAGGAGCTGCTCGAGAGTGCTCAGGAGCTCGCGAACCAACGACAAGAGAAGCAAGCAAGAGACGAGAAGAGAAAAAGTGCCGGGGAAAAGGCGGGAGATGGCAGAGATGGCGGAGCACTTAGGGGAACCGCTGGGAAAGGTGATCAAGGGGATAGACCGCCGGCTCCGCCGGTGCCAACACGAGGTGATACCAAGGGGGCGGTTATGCAGGCTCCCAGATGGAAGGGTGGTGCTGGGACGGGTAGCAACATCAAGACCCTGAGCGACCTCAAGTCCGAGCAGGAATATTCGGATAGAGAGACGCAGCAGGCAACGAGAAGCGGAGACAGTGGCGAAGGAACGATGGTGATAGGATCTGGAGGCACGGTGGGAGTGGTTGCCGACGGGACAGAACTGGATCGAGTGGAATGCGTGGGTACTGGAGAGAGTGGGGGGATATTGAGATTGAGGATGGAAGAAGAGGGATCGCCTGTGATAGAGGCCCCATGGTCGAGGAATACGAGGGCAGGACAGGTGCTGGGGAGGGGCATTTGATAGAAATGCAGCACTGGATTCGCTGTTATGGAGCCCCACCGATGGCATGGACAACGATAGTGGTACAGGTAATACGCAGGATGATTAGAGCGACGTGCCCGAGGGAGGTTACCGATGAGATCACACCCAAAGAAGTGTACGACATTGTAAAGGCGGGAATATATGACTCGCAGGTGCTGTCGGGGACGAGGCCTGGCGCCGAACCGTCATACACCGGGATAGCTTTGGGAACTTTGATGAGAAGCAGAATATTGAACGTTGAGAGCAACGTCGGAGGCATGAGGAAGTGGGTAGAGCAATTCTATCGGGTGTGGATGGGCATGAATGGAATATTGGGGACCGTGCCAGAGTTGAGAGCTGACGGAGGCAGACTAGGCCGGCCTGGACACAAGCCCCCATCGATTTCACCGCCGCCGAGTGAGCCTAGAGTCAAGCCTACATCCAACGACGCGGATGAGATAGAGGTGGAGATGCGGTGGACTATATACAACGTAATGATAGAACCAGAGACACTTTCCCTAGGTTATGAAGAGCTCGAGATGCTGTGGGAGACGAAGTTGTTCGAGGTTGTCCAGAGGGCCGGGGAGCATTTGATAGATCGCGTGATGACGAGGATGGAAGCCGGTACCGGGGGCTACCCGGATAGCATGGACGTTGCGGACATGGTGGAGGAGGTGACAAAGCAAGGATTTGGATCCGAGACGGGGGGCACTACTCCCCTGAATAAAATCGAGTTTTCGAATTATGTGGTGAGAATATGGCTGGCCAAATTCGTCAGGACGATGATTCTTGAAGACATGAAGTTCCCGAGGGAATGGGCCAACACCATGGCATGGTGGATAGCGCAGAACCTGATGCT